AAAAAAAAAAAAAAAAAAAAAAAAAAAAATCAGTCAACAGACCAGATCAAGCGAAATTACCCAAATTAAAAATCACAGAAAAGAGAAGGATCAAGAAATTAGTTTCAAAAGTGAAAAAAATCCCTAAATTACATCAAATGTTATTAAGGAAATGCATTATGAAAGTAAAAACCATCCCAAAAATCTCTTTTGTCCCCCTTTTTTGAAACAGCTAATCGGTCTAAATGTCTTTTTCATAAAAAATTTCCTTTTGAAGTTTCCAAGCTATTTTAATAATGCTCAAAACAAAAAAAGAAAATGCTGTTCAATAAAGATCACAGGAAAAGACAATAAAATTAGTAAGTACATTTACTACCGATTGATTCGTACCAACCGCATACCACTGTGCAGTACTCAGTGAGCAGCTACGGTTGCTTTGATGAAAACAACTCCGGTTGGATTAACACGTGCGTTAAAAGTGCTGGATGGCAACATCAATCCTATCTGCTTTCCCGACCAGAGATCTTCAACAAAATAGCCACCTGGGTTTGTCAAACCAATTTTTTCTAATTTAAAACTAACATCCTGAAAACACTTGAATCATTTACCATAACTAGCCGAGAAAAAAAAATTGTTGAGAAAAATTTATGAACTAAATTTTTGAGCGTCAAATATTGTTAAGAAGTTTTTGATATTTGGTTTCTATTTATACTGCTACATATTAGATGTCGTATAAAGAAAGTAAATAAATCTTTGAAAAATTCTTCGGTAACGTCTTAGCAATTTTGCTTTCCCCTTTGAAGCCGTCGTAAGCATAACATAACACTAACAGTAAGGTCGCTGAAATTGACCAAAAATTTCCATAAATTCTTCTACAGAAAGCTCGTCTGTGCAAATTAACCAGTTGCAAGAAACACCAATTAGGAAAATTTGGGTATTTTATAAGTCATAAATAACGAATGTTGAGTACGTTATAAAGTACATTCCATTAACAAGCTAGACAGATCAAAGCTTTAGTTACCATATGCTAAAAAAATTGTAAAAAATATATATAAACATCAAACTACCATCTGAGAGACCAGATTCCTATTCAAAAGTGCGACGGCATAAGAATAATGATTTGATCTTCGAATAACAGGCGTCACTGGTTTCACATAAAGGCCAATATCACTAGTCTTAAATACAGAAAATTTTTTGAATCATACTTTTCTTTCGCTTTCAAAGATAAAATTTTACTTGAAATCAATTATTAACAATTCTATGTAAGTAAGACATATATATAAATTTATCTGAAATTTTATCTGAAACATCTTTTTCTTAAAAAAATACATACGCATAAAACTTCATTAAAAGTGGTAAATCTCATACTATCAAGAAAATATGACAAAATAGTAAAAAAAAAGCCCAAAATTAGGTTTTGATCAGATCCAGATTTCACCCGTCTTCCCGAACGTTGTTTTGCAATGATAAAGAAGAATCTGTAACCAAAGTGCGAAAACTAACGTTGGCCACAAGCTGTCCCATTATACCTAATGGATCTTGATCAATAGCAATCACACGTCTATTTTGCAATATATTCTTGAAGACAGGCGCGATTAACCGCAGATCGTTAGACATAATCAAGGGAGCTGACCAAATTGACCAAATTGTCATTTGAGCCATCGACTGGTCAACAGTGAGTTCCATATTTCCGACTATTATCTACAACCCGATAATTAAAAAAGAAAATTTATTGAACAATTAAATGAACAAGAATCGCAACTTAATCCAAGAGTTCCCAAAATCAAATGATTTTTTTAAACGTTCGTTCTTCTTCTTACGCATCTATTTCTTAAAAACTTTTTCTATGCTTAAATTATCAACCAAGATTAAACTGTGAAATAAAAGAAGGGTTTTTTAAACAATATTTACAAAAAAAAAGACATCGATAAAGCGAATCTCAAGTAGCTGCTAAAATTTCCCGTAGAAAAAATAAGTAAGCAGGAAAATTTTATGACAGTAGAGAGACTTTTGTTTGGAAGACATTTCCAAATATGACACTAACAAAATGGTTCCTTTATGGAATATTATAGGAATAACTGCCAAGAAGCTAATTCATGGTTAGTAAGGTGCTGATATAAAATTGAGGCAAGGGTAAAACACTCTATATAACTTGAATTTTCTTTAGATCACAGTGTTTGCAACTCAAATATAAAAAGTTTTCTGAGCGAAACAGGGATTGCATGTCATAATTTTAAATTCTAATCGTCAAAAGCAAAAAACAGCAATTAATTTTTAGATATCTTAAGAACATTTTCAAATTGAAACACCAACGCCCGATGAGTAAGTATGGCACAAAAGAAAACAGAGGCACAAAATCCTCCAAATAAGGTGGAA